TTTGTAAATCCCATGGTTTGAAATGCCATCCTTGGAAGGCTTTTATGATGGTTATAAGGGGGTACTCATGGTAAAGTCCTTCTTCAATGAGAAGAACATTCTGGGTATTTTTCTTTCTAAAATATTGGTTTTGGCTGCCTTTAGAGCTTGATGATTGAGACTGTGTTTGGGTAAGTGTTTGGTCTGGGAAAATATTTTATAAATCGTTTAGTTTCGGTTTGTGAAGGATGATTTCCTTTCCTTGAGATTTTTGGAGAGCGGAAATGGCTATTTGTTTGATGGCTGTATCTTTTTCAGTTTGGGAAGCTAGTGCTAAGGCTACTTTTGGGAAATTTGAAAGGGATTCAATCTATTTCTAGACTTGAGAATCTATTTTGTTAGGGTCTTGGGCATCTTGGTAGGTATTTTGATCTTGGGTAGGATTTGGAAAAGAATGTTGGGTTTGTTCTTGTTCTTCTAGGGTACAGATTTCGTACCATGATCTGATCGGTTTCTGGGATAGTATTGGATGGTCTTCGCTCTTTACTTCTTTTCCTTTGTCTTTACGATCCCTTAATTTAGGAGGCATTTTTTCCTGCAAAGATTCAAATTCTGAATTGAGACTTCTCTTGTACTTTGGAAATATTTGGGGTTGATTCTAGATAAAATTTTTTATAACCATGATCTGAATATTGTTTTTCTTTTTCTTTTGGAAAGAATGACTAAATCTTGCCATGGTAGGTTCAGGTTTTGGAATTTTGGAGCCATGTTTCTCCCTGTAGAAATTCTCTTGTAAGAAAATTTGGTAAAGAATTTGACTTTCTTTTGATATATTCAATATCAAAGTCAAATATGTTTAAAATTGCTTGCCATTTGGCAAAATTTTGTTTTGAACATCTTTTTGCAAAATTTCCTTTGCAGATTTACAATCAATTCTTAAAAGAAATTTTTGATTTAATAAATCACTTTGAAATTTTGAAATGCATAAAACAATTGACAAAATTTCTTTTTTGATTGTGCTATAATTCTGTTGTGCCGAAGTCCAGTGCCTAGACATAAACTGAACTATTTGTTCCTTGTTATTTTTAACTTGTTTTAGAATTCCACCATACCTAACTCTGAGGCATCTGTTTCTACGATTTTGGGTGCATTAGGGTCTGCTAAGTGTAGACATGGAAGTTCTTTAACATGTTTTTTAATTTGTTGTACTATTTCAGTGTCAGTTTTTGTCCAGGGTTTTGGATTTTTCTTAAGTCTTTGATGCAAGGTTTGCATATTTTGCTTAATCCTGGATAAAAATCAATTATATAATTGAGGCTTCCTAAGAACCTTTGTAACTGAGTTTTATCAGTTATTTTGTCTAAAAATTTGTCAGTAAATTTTATTGATCTTTCTATTGGGGTAATTGTCCATTGTGTTATATAATGTCCTAGAAATCTAATCTTGGTTTGGAATAAACTAATTTTGGATTTAGAAACAACTAAACCATTTCTTTTTATTATGTTCATGAATATGTTGAGATGTTTTAAGTGTTTCTCTATGTTTTCTAAGAAGACTAAAATATCATCTATATAGACTATTGTGAATTGAGAATAAGGATTGAATATTTCATTCACTATTCTTTGAAATTCGGAAGGTG